TGGTGACGGTGGGTGTGGGGGTGACGGTGGGCGTGGGGGTGGTGGTGGCGGCGCTGGTGATGGCGACGACGGTGGTAGTGGGGGTGGGGGTGGCGTCGATGGCAGTGGTGGTGGGGGTGGCGGCGATGGTAGTGGTGGTTGGGGTGGCGGTGGTAGTGGTGGCGGTAGTGGGGGCGACGGACATCGATGGTGGTGTGGTGGTGGTGTGGGTGGTGGTGATAGTATTGATGAAAAATAACTTTTAAAAGTACTTTTACAAAGTAAATTCAAACACACCCTTAGGACTTATTTTTCCTATTAAATTTAGGATATTACCATTAGTCGTTAGATTAGTTTTAAAATAAAATTTAAAATAATTTCAATCGCGAATAGTAAAAGTCATTTTGTTTATCTTTTGATATTTGAATTATCAGCTACTTTATTATATAGATTATTTGTATAAAACTTGTAGTTCATACACATTTTTTTCTATTTAAAAACTTTTTTTTTCAACTTACACTACTTTTATATAAATAGTGATGAATTAGGCAATCTTTTAAAATATGAATAAAAATTTAAAACCATGTAGAATTATATATGAAAAAACTCTAACTTCTTATAATTGCACAGCAGCCCACACCTTTTTGTTTTGAACTGGAGGGAGACTCACAAATTTATTTCTTCAATTATTGAAAAAAAAAAAAATTGGCGTATTTAATTTATTGCACATTTAATCTGGAAGAATACGGACTCATTGACATTAGGATCCATGAAAGCCGGGTGTACAGAAGCGTCAGGAGGTGAGATTCGATTTGTTTATTTAACAAAATCTCGGAATTTGAATAAATATAATCACACAATTCTAAATATGTGGTGGGAATGGACAAATGTATTAAAATCTAGTGTAAAGATTTCAATTTTTTAAATAAAAACCAAACACGAACTTAAGAATACGAAAAAGTCAATATGAACTGGAAAAATGATGCAATTTAGTTAGAGAATAATTAATGTGACATGTTAGTGTCAAATATGAGTAATTTAATAATGCTTATTATATAATAAAAATTAATTACTAATATTTTTTTATATATTTTTTTTTCATTTTTAATATAATTGTATATGAATATTTATAAATTTGAGATTTTAGTTATACTTTGATGTTTGATCGATAAACAAGTCATTTATATGATATCGACTCGAAATAACATCACCCGAGTACAACTCAATGGATGAAGTTATGGTACATATATAAAGACTCATTCCGATGAGCTAAGTCTAAGGGCCCAACTCAAATTATAAGTTTAATGGCCCAACTCCAAGAGTCTCCTCTACTACCTTGGAACATGTAGGTTCATCAAAGAGTCGTATCATCTTTCCCTTGAAAAGAGTTAACACCCACGTCATCGTTTGACCGAATTTCATGAAAAGCACTGCAACTGTCTCGCCTGTTAAGAATAGGAAGTCAGCTTCAACAGACTAGCCACTTAAATTCTAATATCTCGCCCAAATCTATTATGAGGCGCCAACAAATTGTAAGTCTCACCAACACTTGGGGGGCAGGTCTTATTTCTGTTGAGCACAACTCTCTCTAAGCTTGTACTCTCTGCTTCTTGCACCTTGGGCGCCCTGCACAGGGGAGCTCACCACAAGGGACCTCTAGCTCCCCTTTTTCATGGTGGAAACCATTTTTTCCAAAAGAATAAGGGTGAAAACCAAAATATGGAGCATGAGAGTCACTCCCACGATAATTCCAAAGGAGCACCGAACTACTGGGACCCAAAAAAAAAGTCACAAAGGCACAGACATTAAGTAATTTTATGACTGAGCTCACACCGCTTGAGGAGAGAAATTGTCAAGAAGATTCAAAACCAGAGACCATCAGTGCTCTTACCCAAGCGCTCAACACCTAGACACCCAACAATTAGGTGCCCAGCCCTCAGGCACCCAGACGCCCAGCCCAAGCGCCTAGCACCTCTCAGCGCTCTTCTCATCTCCATCTATTGGAATGAGCCTACGGCTTGGTGATCCTCCCATCGGGCTAACCCTTAAATTTTGCCTCTACTCTCAAGCAGGCAGCCTATCTCCAATTTAGCGACTCTCTTGCGGGTCGCCCAAAAAGCTTAGCCTCTGCACTGCTCTCAAGCAGGCAACTTGTACCTCCAGCTTAGCGGGTCGCCAAAAAATTTGGCCTTTGCCCTGCACTCAAGTAGGCAACCCATACCTCTAGCTTAGTGGTTCTCTCGCGGGTCGCCAAAAGTTTAGCCACTGCACTGTTCTCAAACAGGCAACTTATATATCCAGTTTAGCAGCTCTCTCGCGGGTCGTCAACAGCTTGGCCTTTGTACTGTTCTCAAACAGGCAACCTATATATCCAACTTAGCGGCTCTCTCACAGGTCGCCAAAAACTTGGCCTCTGCACTGTTCTCAACACAGACAACCAATATATCCAGCTTAGTGGCTCTCTCGCGAATCCCCAAAAGTTTGGTCACTGCACTGTTCTCAAACAGGTAGCCTATACCTTAAGCTTTAGGACTCTTTTATGGGTCGCCAAAATCTCGATCTCAAAAGACGTAGCTTTCTCATGAGCAATTTTCAGACTCTGTCTTTGCTCTCATGCAAACAGTCTGTCTCTCTCTCCAAGTAATCATGTTAAGATATTTTGATGTTGAAATAACATTTTTTTTGGCATCTCTATGCACACTTTTGAAACTTAGACCATCTGCTACCCGGGAACTACATTAGATTGAATGTCAACAATCGGCCTTATCCATCTAGCGCTGCCATCACATCTGTCTGGCCAAGCCGAGTGTCTTTCGAGGCCATATCAACACTCAATAGTCCTGCTTCACAAGCAACACTCGTCGCCTCTCCAACTGTGCCCAACGCCATGGGCGCCTCTTTAGCAGTGCAATCGGTGCTTACTCCCATGAGCCCCAAAGTGACTTCATCGCCACATCGAGCAGCGCACAAGGCGCCTCACCCTCGGCCCGAGGCATGGCCATCCATATTGGCGCTTAAGATTGCGCGCCCAACTGCCTGATTACCCAGACCAGCTCTCTCTCCTCCTGTTTGTCTGCCCTGATCTGCTCGCCAAAACCAGCTGGAATAGTGCCTAGAAGGGCGCCTGGCTTGATTAGCCCGCTTAAGGCAGCCTCAGGCTCGCCCAAAATAGCGCGCCCAGCACGCCTGCTAGCTATTTTGACCGTAAATTTTGCTCTATAACTTTAAACAAGGGCTTATTATATATCAAATCGAAACTCTTGACGAGCACTACAAGACTCACAACCTATGGCTGTGAATGATGGTGTAAAAAGTCCAACAAAGGGCCCAGAAACAGAAGTTTTGGCCTCTCGAAGTTTACTCAAAAAAAAAAAATCAGCTCGCCCAAGGCCCCTCCTACTCGCCCCAGAGGATACCCTGTTCACCCAAACCCCTCGCCTAACTCTTTGCTCAAAATTTTGACCGTAACTTTTGATCCATTACTCCAATTAAGGCTTATAATTTATCAAATCGAAACCCTCGACGAGCCCTATTAGAGTCACAACCACAAATCGAAGTTTTTGGAAGCAGACGTTTTGGCCTCCCAAATTTTTTCCAATTGTGCTGGTCAGCCAAAAAATCAAAATTAATCGAATGTCCTCTTTTTCAAGTTTTATTGGACACAAGGCATTGGGGGGCAAATGATGAGTCAAATCCAAGGGTCCAACTCATGTTCCAAGCCCAATAACCCAACTCCAAGAGGTCCAACTAACTAAGCCCAAATGAATTTGCACCTGGACAAGCTCACCATGGTCAAGGAGCTACATCAGCAGGGGCATGCAAGGGTCATCCAAGAGTCATATCTATCACCTTGGACCATGCAAGGTCATCCAAGAGTCATATCATTTTTCCCTTGGAAAGTGTCAACACTCACGTCATCATTTGACCGAATCTCATGGAGAGCACTGCAACTGTCTCGCTTGTTGAGAAGAGAGCGCCAGTTCCAACAGACTAGCCATTTATATACTAATATCTCGTCCAAATCTGTTATGAGACTCACCAACACTTGGGAGGCAAACCTCATTTGATTGAGCATGACTCTCTCTTCTTTCTCTAAGTTTGTATTATCTGCTCCTTACACCATTGAGCTAATAAAATACCAAGCGACTAAGCAACCAAGACCATTTAAAAGTGGACGTAGGTCACATTGACCAAACCACTATAAATCTCGTCTCCTCTAACTGTCTTTATTTTTAATTACTACATTTATTACTCATACTTGACAGATGATGTACAAAACTATTTTGTACATGATCACATTCCAAAACATTGATCTAAGTTTGGATGATTTATAATTATTAATTAAAATAATTTAATTTAATTTAATTTAATCATATTAATTTTTTATTAAATAAAAAATAAAAATACGATATGAAAAAATTATTTTTCGATACCCTAAATTATTGATCATTAAGTAGAGAATAGTACAAGGCATATAAGATAATATATATAAGAGTAAATTACACATATGATCTTAAAATTATTATTTTTATATCAATTAAGAGTAATATTAAATTTATTTAAAAATTAAATTTAATTATTTTAACTAGTGGGTCGCAATATAAATACTAAGATACAGTAAAATCAATAATTATCAAGTAAAAAGTTCTCCGAGTAGAGCCATCAGCGACCCCAAATAAATCTCTTTTTCGTGTCGTCCCTCGCCATTTCTAACAAGACCTCGGCCTGCGTCAACATCCTCTTTCTCTCTCTTCATTTTCTCTACAAAATGGATTCAACTACAAGCGAAATTCTCCATGATTTCGTTAATCTCATGCGAGTTTACAAAGATGGTCGAATCGAAAGATTCGAGGGCAACGACATCGTCCCTGCATCAGTGGATCCCATCACCGGAGTTCAATCAAAAGACGTCGAAATTGCGCCGGAAATAGGTGTCGGCGCTAGGCTTTACCTGCCGGCCAACGCCGACCGACAACACAAACTTCCTGTCCTAGTTTACTTTCATGGCGGTTGCTTTATGATCCAAAACCCTTTCTCCAAGACATACGCTACTCATCTGAATGCCCTTGTTTCACAAGCAAACGTTGTCGTAGTTTCTGTGGATTATAGGTAAGTGTGTTAATTTTACGCATTAATACGAACACACAAGTTAAAATGATACTTTTAAGGGTAAAAATTATAATAGGTTCTTCAACTTTATTTTCTGTTTTAATTTAATTTTTAAATTTTTTATTGTCTGACTTTAGTCTTTAATTATAATTTTTATTTCAATTAAATTCTTTTGTCAATTTTTATCATTAAATCAAATAGAAACAAGCCTGACTTGATCAATTTTCACTGTTAAATCAAATAAAAAACTATTTGATAATTGATGAAAAGATTTAACTATGACAAAATTAATAATTAAAGAACTAAATTGAAATAATTGAAAATTTAGGGATCAAAGTATAGTAACTAATTATGACACTTGAATAATAAATATAGCATGTTAGTATGGAGATTAGAGACACTAATAAAGTAAAAACATCCTAATTGATCTTCTAAAGAGCAAAAAAAAAAAGTAAGAGTTTTTATTGGATAAATTGCATATTGACTCCCCTAACTTTAATTATCACGAATTTCAAATTATATTTTTAATTATGATTATTAGTTTTACACTAGTCAATGATTATTATTCTCTGTCTTCCAAACTCTATGATTTTGTTTCACTTTGGCCAGGTACTTGGATATTTTCTTTCAAAAGATAATAGACTTTTGTGTTGGGGGTAATGTGTAACTAAGTGGGTCAATGTGTAATTTATCTTTATTAAGTTCAAGAATACTTGAGACCCTACAAAAAAATTTTAGATGGGTCCTAAAATTATTTTTAGATGAATAATTTATTTATTTTTATTTTTAAAGTTATATCTTTTCATAGGTATATTTAAGGTGAAAACCAACTTGCAACACAAACTCATTACGTAACTGATTAAATTAAAATCAACTTTACTGAAAAATTATAGTTCAACAAAATATAATGTATAAATAGGCCAAAGTTATTACAAATTCAAATATAGTAAGAGTGTAGAATCTTTTAATTTTTTGGACATATATATATATATATATTTATGATTTAAAGACTTATATTTTTAAAATCTTTTTGATCATTTTACGAAACATCTTAATTTTATATTTTTTAAAATTTTATTCATATAATTTTTTAAAATATATATATATGAATGGCCCTTAGACAAGTGGAGGAGGATCTAGGCGACCCCCTCATTTGCGTAAGGTTAGGGCGGCACTGATTTAGAATCAACTAATTTTTTAATGCGTCACTGATTTAGAATCAGCTAATTTTTTAATAGTAGGAATACGACATTACTAACAGGTTGGCCCCGGAACACCCTCTCCCAGTTGCTTATGAAGATTCATGGGTTGCGATCAAGTGGGTTGCTTCCCATTTCAAAGGAGACGGCCAGGAGCCATGGCTAAAGGACTATGTTGATTTTGAACGTGTGTTTTTAAGTGGAGATAGTGCAGGTGGAAACATAGCACACAACATGGCCATCCGGCTCGGGTCAGAAAAATTTGATGGTATCAATATTCTTGGATTGGTTTTAAACCATCCATTCTTTTGGGGCGAAGAACCAATTGGTAATGAAGGTGCTGAAACAAATTATCACAGCAAAGTATTGATGGATCGCTTGTGGCGATTTGTGAACCCATCGACTGTTGGGTCAGATGACCCGATGTTGAACCCGGCTAAAAATCAGGATCTTCCAAGTCTAGGATGTAGTAAGGTGCTGGTTTGTGTTGCTGAGGAAGATCTGTTGAGGGATAGGGGCTGGTATTATTATGAGGTATTGGCCAAAAGTGGGTGGAAAGGAAAGGTTGAGATTATGGAGACCAAGGGGGAGAACCATGTCTTTCATTTGTATAATCCCACTTGTGAAAGTGCTGTGGCTATGGTCAAAAGAGTGGCCACTTTTTTGAATCAGCGCGAAGACTAGACTAGTCTTTGGATATTTGTAAAATGCGAAATGTTTCTCGACGGTATCGAGTTCAGTATCATATTAATATAATCTTATAATTTTGTTTGGTGAAGTCACGATTTTATTTGGGTTACAATCTGTCCTAACATTTTAAAACCATTTGTCACACAACTACTTGACCAGAGCATGTGACAAGTTCAGTATCATATTAATATAATCTAGCATAACGTCGAAGACCAACCCACATCATACAAATTAAAATATCTTGTATAAACTCATATATAAAAAAATACATCTTAGTCAAACTGTTACATGTCTGGTTACATAAATACAATCCACTCATGTTAGAGTTACATTTATTCTAATTACATGTCTCTAGAACATTTCCTAAACTGTATAAAAGTTCTAACATTCCACTATATACAAGTCTTCTTTCCTTTATACATCTGAAAGGGGGAAAGTAACGTAAGGTGTACAACAACAATTTAGTAGAGTAACTCAATTTTCAAGCAAGCAAGCTAAAAATAGTATAGTTTAGCATGATTGGACAAAAGAAAAACGAGCATTATATATATACATACAAGTAAAAACGACATCTCATATAAAGTAGAGTCATTTAAGTAGAAATTGAACAGTAAAAGAGAGTTTAGAAACATCATGCACAGTGTTACACCGGTGGACAATCATCCTAATAGACCATTCGGGGTCCATGTGAAGTTACGATCCAACTTTTTGAGAGACTTGCACTCCGAAGAAGATACGCTCCCTAATCACAATTCAATATCCAAGTCCGAATACCAACTAAGTCACCTAAGTGTTTATGGACTCAATGAGTACCCTTTACAGTCTTAAATTGAAACATAAACTCTTTTGCCACTCAACCTATGTGCATTTATGTTTAGTTTAAAAGAATTCTAGCATCTCATTTTATTCAATCAAATCAAATGTTTCGAATAACTATGTTATCGTACTCAAAACCTTAATTCAGATCGGTAATTCTAAGTCCAAGTTCAAATACCTAATCATATAATTTCAAAACATGCTAACAGTCAAAAATAATGAATGT